GGGCGGGGCGGCGAGGTGCGACGCCGGAGCGACGGGCGATGGCAGTTGACTGATAAACATTTCACTCTATTAAGGCAGTATATTCGTTAGATCTAATCCCTTATTTACACACACTTTTACTAATATGCGCTGCACTACCACACATGCCGAAATGCCGGTCGGGAGCTTAGAGCTTGTCCCGGCTGGAGCAGTACCCCGCTGGTGGGAGATATCTGGCAGGGTAAAACCCGCTATCCGACGGTAGGTCGGTGTCTGATCTCGCCATCTAGTGGAGGATCACTGCTACCTCCCGAGGAAGAAAACATGCACTACACTTCCGGGACCAATGACCTCAGTAGTGGACCCGCCCGGAATCAGTAAACAATCAATCGATCACGGTGAAGTATCCCAAAATAATTGTTTAAAAGAAGGCAAAATCTCATTTTTTCAACATGATAAGACAAAAATTGGCTCTTAATATGCCTCATTTTGAATTAAAGAAGATTAAATTTGTACAAAATCATAATAAAAATGTTTTCGGGCATAGATTTATTTTTAAGTTATTGAAGAAGTTATACAGTTCTTCTTTCATACAATTCATGTAACTATTTTAGTAAACAGATGGTTTTGAATTTAAAATATCTCACCGGGAATTCTCAGGAGTAATTTATAAAAACCTGCTGCAAAATTCATCGCAACTGGAAGTATTGGTTCTCGGCCTAGACTGCTCGAATATATAAGCTCGAATCCTGCTAGTGTCACGACTGTTTCCTATTTTATATCACTTCCAACCAAACCGCACTTCATTTGACGATAATTCACTTTCAAAGTAAACAATATGGAGTAATATTCAACGCAAGAAGAAAGAAACGTACGGGTGCCGAAGTTAATCAAACTTATACTAGATACTGCCAACTTACGAAAATGATAAATCAAGCAAGAGACTAAATTTATTAGTAAACATTGTCTTTGTAGAGCAAATATTCAATACTTTATTGTTTAACTATTTAAAAATAAATGTTTAAATGCTGCATCTCCTCAGATCTTAATTTACTTGTTGCATAAAATGCCTTTCAATTATTACTGTCAATAGGTTTTGTTCTTCGGAACTTCCACCTAATTTTCATGCATGTAAACACCTAAAGCAAGAAAATGAATTATGTTATTAAAAGTTTTCAAATTGTATGACCTACACCTTGTTTGACGTAGAATGTATGTATATGTCAAATTCAATAATGACCCTAAAATCCAAAAACAAACCATCACGATTTTACCATTACATTTTCTTATTTTTAAAAGAAAAGGAACTGGAAACAGAGTGAGATCGCAATCAACCTATCCCGATGACTGGTGCGGTCAATCTTGAATTTGGTGAAATTGGAACATAAAGGCTTTACTTCAATACTACATTCTCATGATTTCCCCGTTTTTTATAAAATCGAAAACTCGTGCAATTGTTCTTTCATTATTCTCTTCCGTGTTAAGAGTTGCCTTTTTGTAAGGAAAATGGGAGAGTCTATTACGGAATCAATATTTAATTAGATAAAATTTTGTTTAAACATAGTTATTACGGACATTAATTTATAGCTCATTCTTTTTTGACACAAAAATAATAACGCATTTACCATTTTTTTAGCATTTAATACACTACTTTTAGTATTTATTTTTGACACTTAACCATGTTATAATAGGACTATTTCGTGAACATTTGTACGAATTTATCCACAAATTGTACACTGAATTGGATTAATATTGATCTTCAAAATACGTGTATATTACTTCGTATGTATTGTATTTTGATTGTGGTCGCTAATGACCTTAACGTTCATGCGACCAATTAAATAAAGCATAATTTAAAAAAAT